AAACACCAATGGCACCCCTTGAGAAAGACTAGAGTAACAGAATGGGATGTGTGGGGAGGAGCGGAAAATGGATAGAGATGACAGCGGAGGACAGGGCCCAGCATCGAGCACTAACTGGGATAACTGCAATTTCCTGGAAGTGGATTCATAGGAGGGATGCTGAGATCCCCTTTGATGGCAGTGGTGTTATCCTCACAGGTCAGGGATGACCGTGAGTGCCCTAGCCTGATCAAAATGACAGTGTGACTAAATTGCCCTTCTGGGGACCCTGGTATAGACTCTGGGCCCATAGCTTTGCCAGCTGCCTCCATAGAAGGGTGGATTCCTGAGGTTGCTTCCTTCTTTACCTTTGAGGTCTGCTTTTATGTATCCTGCATTGCTCTGAGAGAAACCTGAAGGCAAGAGCTGCATTTCCTGCCTTTGATTCTGAACTCCTAAAGAAGGGAAAACGGCTCTTCTGCTGAATTGGGAGTTTCCTGAAAGTGGAGCTAAGTCTCCTTTTTTTTCTTTCATTCTTTTCAGTCACCAAGAAAAAAACCATGCCTGCTAATTAACATACCTGAGAGGAAAATGACACCACATGGCTAATCTTCACTGGAGCCATGGTGGGCCCAGCAGCTGTCCCAAGCACAAGGCAAAATGCTTTCTCCTGAGATCTCTTCTGTCACCACTTTGATGCCTATATTCTGGTCCCATCAGCTTCCAGAAGAGAAGGAATCGTCATGTTACTCCTAAAGAAGAGAACAAAAGGAAAATAAACAAGTCTGGAATGTTTTTCTGGTAACAGGAGTTATTTACATCAGTACATCAGTCACTATTTCTGATGACCATCATGGGGCTGGTGGGGTGGTGATCAGGGAGCAGATCTAGAGTCGCTGATGAAATTCCAACAAAAGTAAAACAAATGGAATGCAATAGAGCAGCAAGTACAAAACATATATAGATTATCAATAGAATTATATTATATATATTTTATATACATATGTAAACATGTAGATATTGGATTTATATGAAGGTGAGCCCTCATGGCATGAACTATCCCTTAAATTATCCATCTTTATAACCCTAGATTCTACCTAGCACATAGTAAAGATGTGCAACAAACATTCAACTAAATAAGGGATACAAGTTTATTGTTTTTTTTTCCCTTCCCATAAAACAAATCTTCTTAGATTAAGTTACTTCTCTACTAGAGATCTTCAAGGGCTTGCTGACATACGCAAATCCCTTGCTATATGGTAGGACTAAATAAACTTTAATTCAATTTGACCTCTCAAAGCATCTACAACATAGATCTGTCCATTTCCTGGTTTATCTCCTACTATTCCTTTCAGCAAGGGATGTTTTACCGTAATTACTTTATTTATTTAATCTTAAAAGGTCATGTGGGAATTTGTATTTTGTCTTTTGCTGAACTTTTTATGGAAAAATTTAAATATATACAAACACACACACACACATATATATTAGTATAATGAACTCTCATGCATCACTTAGCTTCAACAATTCCTTGGGTAGAGAGAGGTGTTTTAAAGTTGTCGGCATGTCTTTAGATGGGATCTCTCTTCAAATATTTACCTGTCCTTTCACTCAGGTTTCTTAACTCACGTGGTCCCTGAAATGAGTCCATGACCTCGATATACTCATGGACATAATGGTCTTGTGTCCTTCCTACCAAAAAACCTTTTTCCCACCTCTGAGACTTTGTTCATGCCATTGTCTCTGCTTGGAATGTTCTTTCCTCCTTTCGCTGACAAATCTAATGCATCTTTGATGGCCAAATGTCACCTCCACTCTGCTCAGCACTCAAAGTGATAGCTCCCTCCTCTAAATTCTATATTACAATGATCTGCATATGTCTTTTGTCCCTTGACCAACTGTAAGCTCTTGGAAGACAGACTTCATGTTTGATTTATTTCTGTATCCTCATTAAGAGGGAGAAACATAGTTTCAGATTAACCAGTGTCCACTGAAAGAATGACCATAAAAATTAGGCTCCAAATGGTCAGCCATTATGGAATGCTCAGAGTGAGGTAGCTACTGTGACAGCAGTAACCAAAGTCTAATGAATACCATTCTAAAGGTCACAGGTTACATTCAAGATGGTACCAAGGCTTCAAAGAAAGAAGAGGTCAGGGTGAGTCCTGAGTCACCTCCCAGGCCTTTAGATGAATTAAAGCTGATTATTCTCATTATAACAACTCACTGAACATTCAACAATTTTTCTTACTCTCTGTTAGATACTGGAGACAGAAAAATAAATAACATAGATAGGGTCTCTGTTTTGGAGAAACTCCCAGTATACACCTGTGATTTGATGGAAAAACTCCACCATCTCTCATAACTAATACACATCTGACTGAACCAGTCCCAACGCTACACTCCAGGCTTGGGGACCCTGAAGCTGTCAATATTAGATACTTTATTTAGCTAATATTTTCGAGGAGGGGGTTGTCTAGCAGGTACCAGACATTGGACTAGGTTACACAGTGGTGAATAAGACATATACAGTATTTTTTATGAAAATCACTATCTATTAAATTGCTTGTTCTCACAGGATTAAGTGCTTTCTGACTTCACTGCCCTTGCATACACTGTTGTTCTTGTTTTTTGGCACCAGCTTATTTACCCTGTGTGTACCTGCACTAAGCAGTGAGCTCTTTGAGGATACAGATTTTTGTCATGCTCATCATCTCCCACACTTCAGAGAGATGTTGGAACACAGTAGGCATAAATAAATAGCCATTGAAAAGAGTACTTCTTAAGTCAATATAATTCAATCAGACTTGCACAGAAGTTTCTGGCAAACACAACAAACTCATCAACCAATAATGGGCCACAAACTGCTACTGTTTTTAAATTTTAAATACTACAAATCGGCAAGAAAAGGGCAAGCACTCCGATATAAAACTTGGGACACGATATAAACATACAATTCACATAAGATAAAATCTGAATGACCAATACCCCATATAAAAAAGTGCTCAGCCTCACCGATAACAAGGAAAGAACAAATACCTGTTCCTCTAAGACTGGAAAAAATAGAAAAGTCTACAATATGAAGGAGTAGCAATAATATGGGGAAATGGGCTCTCTCATAAACACTTCCAGCACATCTTAATTCTGACTAGCTACATTTCAAGAATAGCCACCTGTCCTGGTTTACTTAAACAGCGCAGCTCTAGCTCATGTGTACAAAAAGATACATGTAATGTTTCTTAATAGCAAAAAGCATAAAATTCTAATGTCCACTAGTTGAGGAATGGATGAACGAAATGTTCTATATCATACGGAATACTATATAACAGTTAAAAGGAATAAACTAGATGTAAATATATGTAAACATGGATAGACTGCCTCCCCCCAAAAGAGTGAAAGAATAAGTTATTAAAAAAAAAACTATACATAGAAAAATAGCATTTAAGTTCTTTACAAAAGGAAACGAAACAATACTTGTACTGCCCACTGAATACACAGTAGTTTTTTTTTTTTTTCAACAGACTGGGAGAATACACAGCTAATTATAGGACTTGCTTCTAGGGAGAATGAAAGGGTAATGAATCTGATAGTAAAGGGCACAGATAAATCCCACTTCTGTTTCATATTATCTTTCTTAAAAATTGAGTATGAAAATAGATTATGATGTCAATCATCAATTGGGGGTGGTGAGTATACGGTGTTTATAATATTCTATGTACCCAGTTTCACATAATAAATGTAATTCCCATTTTAAATAAATGTAGATGGTCCCAAATGAAGTTGACGGTCAATCTAATAAAGTGAGCCCACAAGACATCCTAGCCCTATCTATGCTGGACCTCCGGGGGGCGGGGTGAAGTGTAAGCAGGGACCACAGGCTTGCGAGGTGTAGGGTTCAGATGTACAATGTACAAAAAAAAACAGGGTGCTGGAAATGATATAGGAAACTGTAAGCTGGGGTGCAGCATAGTGAATAGGATGTACAGGACGGAAGTAAGGGTAGAATCTGGACACGCAGTCTGTGGGCACAGCAAAGAATTCGAAGATGTGTGAAGTGGATCCGGAGGCCTGAGAGCCTAAGGAAGCAGTTTGGGGGCCGTGGAAGTTCCGCAAGACTCTTCAGCTCTCAGATTCCTGAGCCTAAGCCGCTACTTCCACCGCTTCTGGGAATGCGCTGTTCTGTTCACTTACTTTATGGCCACCCTTCCTCCCTTTTGTCCATTCCCCTACCCATCGAAAACCCGAATGACCCTCACCAGGGATAATGGACCTCGAAGTGCCACCGCTGCCTTAGATCTTGGACCAAAAAAAAAAAAAGTCCTCCCGCCAATTTGGCCCTCTAACCTCCGCCTTCTGACCCGAAGCACCACGCTTCCGCCTCCTGAAGCCCGGGAACATGTTGGGGCCTCAAGAAGCTGCTGTTTCCGGAAATTGACTCCCACCAAGGTAAGAAGACACGTGCTGTAGACAGAAAAATACTTTCGGGTGGTTTACGTATATTTCACGCATTGCAAATCTCCCGGAGAGAGCGGACTTTAAACTTCCGGGTCAGTTTCTGTACATTCTGGGAAATGTAGTCCTTAGTCTCCACGCTTCACTCGAGTTGCCCATTGAGGGAGCGTCGCAAAATAGACAGTTTAGGGGCCCTTCTCTTTGGTTCTACACAGGGGAAAACTGGTGACATATCTGTACTGAAAATAATACAAGGTTAATTTCTCATTTCCTAATATCCCTCCTCCGCCGCCGAAGCTTAGAAGTACACGGAATCCACCCCTCCTTAACCTTTAAGTGGGTAGCAAGAGACAGTCTCTTAGTTGCCTTCGGGTCTCTGCCTGTCTTGGTGCCCCGCCCCCTCTGCCGAAGCCTGTACAGTCGATTGGCTAGAAGCAGTTGAGCGGCGGAAGCAGCTGGCTCGCGCGGGGCCTGCGGGGAGGGGGAGAGCTGTGAAGATGGCGGCAGTGGTGGAGGTGGAGGTTGGAGCCGGTGCTGCCGGGGAACGGGAGCTGGATGAGGTGAGAAGAGTTGAGAGTTGAGGAGAAGAAAGACTCAACCTGAAACTTCAGGGAAGGGAGGGGAGGTATTGGGAGTAGGCGTCCTGGGAGAGACGAGATCCTTAGAGGGAAGGAGCCAACTGTGGAGCGGGTGCGTGGAGAGGGAAATCTGAGGTACCCAGGACTCGGGGACTCGGAGGCAGTCATGGGGTGGAAGACTTGCAGCAATCTCAAGGGTGGAGGTGGAAGACAGAGAGAGAAGCCAGAGGGGTGGGGGTGTTAAGATTTAGGATTATTAGCTGAGGTCCTGGGGAAGACTAAAGGGCTGCCAGGTGGTTTGAGTTAGAGGGGCGTAGACTTCTGTGAGGGAAAGCCGGGTTTTCACTGAGGGAAAGGAAAGGACTGTCTGGGTTTGGAGTCGGGGGTGCGGGGGGACGCGGACTAGGGAAGAGTGTTTATCTACTAGTGTTATAGGTTTGAGTTATTTTTTATGTAAGAGCGCTTTACATTCTAGAACTTTGTACATAATGTGGGCTCGATAGAGTTTTGGTCAACGAATGATAGAACGAATGGGTGAATGAACAATTGTATAGAGAAATTTATCCATTCACTCACTTAAACGTTTAAGTATCACCTTTGAGCGAAGCTCAGGGGTAAGTGCTAGGGACCTTCCCATAGAAGAACCCAAGGTATGGTGGTGGGAGACGCACAAGAAGTCTTTTCATCGGAGGTATAATGGTGGTACTGAGAAGAGGGAACCAGTTCAGTTTGGGGTAGGGAAGGCTTCTCAGAGGAGTCGAGTCTTAACGAATCAGTGATTCTCCCTCTTTCTCCCTTTCCCTTTTTCCTATTAGACTTACGAGTTTTTTGAGAGTGAGCTGTTGAGGGTGTATGTCTCTTTTACCTACGTAACAGGCATTTAACAACGGGTGTATTCAGTGACCAGTGGTCCTTGAAGGAAATCACTAGGAGGAAGGAGACATTGAGTTTGAAGGGAATGAAGGGACAGCGCTGAGAAGCAGAGAGAGAAGGTGAGAAAGGAAAGGGAAAAGATTCCGAGGCCAAAGGTACATTCATGGCTAGGGGTGCCTGTGGTCTTGCCCATGACAGCATATGGACAGCAGGGAGGAATAGGAGAAAGGGGTTTGATTGTTGGGGATGGAACCAGTGGGATCTCTGAGGGGTCAGTGTCTTAGAGGCCTTGGCTGGGGTGGGAGTGTTGGGTGGGGATTGGGGATGAGGCCTAGAGAAAGGGAGTAAAAGTGGACTTGAGAAGCAAAGCCTGTTGTTTGGTGGTGGGATGACTTGGAGGTTTTGGTTTACCTGATTGGGAACATTAAGGTGGGGAGAGGAGACTGAGAAACTGACAAGTGGTCAGAGCAGGGAGAGATGTTTAAAGAACCATTTTAGACCCATATCTTTCAGTCACTAAAGACTAGGAGTGTTTGGATATCACTTGGTTGGTGAAGTGGGGTAGTTGTGGAAATGACTTCCAAGCCCCTTTCAGCTTTAAGTTTCTGTGATCATGGTTGGCGGTAGTTCAGTGAGATATATTTGAAAGTGCCGTGTAAAAGTAAATAATGTGTTTAGGTTAGTTATACATGCTTTGTTAATCATGGCCTTTGAGCGGGGGGAGCTGATTTCAGTTACATATACCAGGGTTCATTGAGATAAAGAACAAAAGTTTTGGCAAAGGAGAAAAGAACTTAAAAGTTTTGAAGTTAGTTATTTTTGATTTTTGCTTATCTCCCTTATTGTTTTAAAATTTTAAGCACTTATAGTATCATAATTATACTTCCAGAGTGGCATGCCTGGAAGTCAACTTTATATGAACCACTAGCATTCATCCCAGAAACTTCTGTTCCTTGTTTCATTTACTAAGAAATAATATAATCTGCTGTCTGGAAATTCTGTGCGGACTGGCTCTGTCCTTTTCCTTGTGTGTTTAAGAAAGTAACTCTGAGAAGCAGGAACGGTGTTCCCTTCAAGCTCAGATAAGGAGTGGGAGAGGCAGAGGTATGGTCTAGCTGACCTTAGTTTGTGAGTGAGTTTCTGCTAATGCTTCCCCACCTGTTTTTTAGCATCCCTAACCAGTGAAACAGAAGTTGAAATCCATCCTTTAATTTGTAATTATGAGAGTCTGCCTCTCTATTATGCACTGGGAATTCAAAGATGAGTAAGACATGATCTTTACCAATTTATAATGTAGAGAAAAGGCATGCAAATGGCCCACTGCAATACTAGATACTTATTTTAATGGAAGGGAGTACCAGATTCAGTGGGGCGCTAGAGACAAGCACTCAAATCTGCTGAGAGTCAGTGAAGTCTTTATGATGGAGAAGGGTTGGAGCTGAAAAATGAAAGGTTAGGTTTACAAAGAAGCATGTGATATAGTTGCTCTCCTTTAACACTTTCTACTTGGTAGAGAGACTGCTGTGAAGCTCAGATTATAAAAAAGAAATGGGTAACCTAGCTAAGATGCCACTTCTTTGGAAAGACTGCATGCTCTGATTTCTTTAGGATATCAGATCTATGTTTTCCGGTATCAGATGTCCTTAGCCTGAGTAGTTTGGAATAGCAGCCATCAGTTTATTCATATTCTCTTCCTTTCCTTTTTTCTTTTTCATTATTACTTTCTATAGTAGTTAAGGTAGTTTAGGTTTCACTTACTGCTTCTCCTGAATAGAAAAGAGGGCTTAGGAAAAGAGCTACTAGTAGAAAAGACCACTGTTTATTGAGCCCTTATCATAAACCAGCTCCTGTTTAAAGCTTGCATTATCTCATTTATTGTTAACACTACCCTGTGAATTAGTTGGTGTTTACTGCATTTTCTAAATGAGGAGACTGAGGCAAGAGAAGCTAAGTGGCATTCCCAGGATTCCAATAGTTCATGATGGGGAAGTGCAAATTCCAGCCCGGGTCTGCCTCTGCTGTGCAGAGCTAAGTTTTACACCACCATGCTCTGCTGAGCACCTAAGTTCCATTCTCAAGCCAGGCTCATCTTACCGAAGTAAACTACCCCTTTCTTAATGTACAAAGGACTCATCACAAAAATGTGAAGCAGCATTTCATTCCTGAGAGGTTCAGAGTGGGATTTAACTAAAAGAATATTGGTTTTTCTATACAGGTCCATTAGTTTACCAATAACTTGATTCTGCTGAGCCCCTCCCTGGTCATGGGGAGTGACCAGCCCAGTGGCAGTTAGGTAGATGAGCTGTGGGTCTAGCCAGCTCAGGCTAGGTATTGAACAGGTAGGCTGTGATGAATGGCTAAGTTCTTTCACTTGCTAAACACCATAGGGTGCTTGAGAGTGTTGGGGAGGATAAAGCATGGGAACCAGCTTGGAGGCCCAGAAGCTGACTTACTCCTGGAGCCTGTGAGTTCCTTCTTGAAGGGGTAGTGTGCCAGCCATTAGAGGAATTGGAGGCACCATCTTGGCACAGAGACCTGGCTTGGGACCTAAGCTAAAAAAGCACTTCAACATCCTATTGGGGCCAGCCTGCCTGCCTGGATAGTTCCTGTGAATTCTGGATGTGTCTGCTCCCAGTAGTTGTTCATCTGCCAAAATGATGTGATATCATGCAGATCAGTGAGTAGCTTCCAGCTCAAGTTCAAAGCAGCCTACAGCTAACTTACTGTTGCCTTTAGTGCGTCATTTACCTCTTCTGGGCCCTGATTTATTCTTGTTAAGAGAAAAGATTGGATTAGGTCAGGGGTTTTTAAACCTTAGTCATGAAACACTTTGTTTAAAAAATAAAAGAAAAATCTCACTTTGAAGACTCATAGTCCTTGAAGGTACTCAGAACACGTTGAGTGTCTCAAACCACACTTTAAAAACCAGGGAGCTTTCTCTTACTGCCCACTGATTGGGTGACTGACCCTATTTTATGTTCCTTCAGCCTCCCTGTACTTCCTCTACCCCACCTCTACCAAGCATTATTTTAACTGCCTGTCTTCCCCACTAGATTGTTGGCTGCCCAAGAGCAGAGTCCAGGTCTATCTTGCTCATGGTCACAGTCCCTTTACTCGGTATGGGGCCTGGCATAAAGCAGGCACCTAACAGTGTTCGACAATTATTATTTTTGAATAGTGGTAATACACTCCTCTCCTTAGTAGTATGTGCTTTTTTTTTAATTGAATGTTCACAGCATCCCTGTGAGAATTGAACTGTTGGACTAGATCATGACTAAAGCTCTAACATCCTGTGTACCATGTTTCTGATTACTGCCAGGCCTTTGTGCTGTCCTGTCTGCCTGGAGTACCTTCCGTTTCTCCCTGTGTCTTTCCAAATCCTATGTGTATTTAAGGTCCAAGCCCAAGGCGCTCTTGTCTTGTAGAACTAGTTTGATCTACACAAATACCTTCTTTCGTTTTCTTTCATGGTTTTTCTCTGTGTTCATTTATCAATTCATCAAATTTTTTGATTAATTGTTCCAGGTACTGTGCTATGGTTGATCACATCATGATGGATAATGTGTGATAACTGCCTTCAGGGAGGTCACAGACTAGCCTGGGTGGGAGTGATAAGTACAAATTTGTGTCACAGGTGTTGTGTCAGTGGAGTAGGTGCCATAGGTACATCAAGGAGGAAGTGGCAATCTGTATCATATCTTCTTTTCTCAGGCAGACTGTAGATGTTCCCATCTCTTGCTTTTTCAAAGTAGTAATCTTGTACTGTTTGTTTTGTTTTTTGTTTTCCCTCCCATGGTTTCTCCCTATAGACATTTGATAAATACTCCTTGTTTCTAGGGATTTTCTTCTCTAGGGATTCTTAGTTAAAGTCAAGAGCTTGTTGAAGGATTGAGGCACATGTGACTGAAGTTTAATCTTGGCTATCTGACCATGTATCTTCATTTTTTTTTAAAGACTTGTAAAATGAGTAGTAGCATAATGTAGTGTGCAAAAAAAAAAAACTAGTTATAAATGATAGACCTAGGTTTTAGACTAGGAAGAGCAGATTTTGTTTTATCTCAGAGACAGCCAAATGATAATTGATGTTTAGAAGACTGTGTTGAGAAGGATTCTAAGGCCAGGGCTCAGCAGGAGAGTGCTGAAGGCAAAATGATACAGTACTTACTATGTGCCAGTTCCTGTGCCAAGTGTTCTATGCATTATCTAATTTCATACCACAACTTTGCAAGATATTTAGTATTTAATAGATATTATTATGGCTATATCCATTCTACAGATGTGGAAACAGGCACAGAGAATTTAAGTAACTTGCCTAATTTGGACAGATGGTAAGTGACAGAGGTAGGGTTCAAATCCAAGATGACTCCAGTATCTGTGCTCTTAGCAACTCTGGGCAATATGAGTACTATAACTTCCCATGCTGTCCTATGCTAGACATTTCTACTGTGTAAGTGTGGGACTTCATTTACAGAGGTGATTTGACTGGGGTCACACTCTTTGAGACCGAGTTCTCTTTGAAAGAAAGTACTTTTTGTTGCTCAGTTGTGTCCGACTCTTTGCGACTCCATGGTCTGCAGCACTCCAGGCTTCCCCCATTCTTCACCATCTCCTGGAGTTTTCTCAGACTCATCTCCATTGAGTTGGTGATGCCATCCAACCATCTCCTCTTCTGTTATCTGCTTCTTCTTCTGCCTTCAATCTTTCCCAGTATCAGAGTCTTTCGCAATGAGTCAGCTCTTGGCATCAGGTGGCCAAAGTATTTGGAGGTTCAGCATCAGGTCCTTGCAGTGTATATTCAGAGTCGATTTCCTTTAGCATTGACTGGTTTGATCTCCTTGCCGTGCAAGAGACTCTCAAGAGTCTTCTCCAGCACCACAGTTTGAAAGCATCAATTCTTTGGTGCCCAGCCTTCTTAATGGTCCAACTTTCACATCCATACAGGACTACTGGAAAAACCATAGTTTTGACTATATGGACCTTTGTTAGCAAAGTGATGTCTCTTCTTTTTAGTATACTGTCTAGCTTTGTCATAGCTTTTCTTCCAAAGAGCAAGCATCTTTTAATTTCATGGCTGCAGTCAGCATCTGCAGTGATTTTGAAGCCCAAGAAAATAAAGTCT